CCTCCTGTTGCCCAACCATCATCCAGTGTCTGCTGTCCCGTCTATGCAGCAGCAACAACCCCAGCAGCAACCTCAACAACAACATGTGCTGCCGCACACACAGTATGATGCGATGCACATCTGTGACGAGCGTGCATGCATCAACCCGTTTCATCTTGTGTGGGGAACACGTGCTGAGAACCGGCGTGGTCATCAAGGACGGGATGGTAGCATGGGCTATAGCCGCCTGCCTCCGGTGCAGCAGGGCAGCATCCTCCGTTTCGGAAGCAGCAGCAACATTTCAGCGGCAGCAGAGCAGGAAGTAGGAGATGCTGCTCGGATGCTGCTCTATCTGTTTGATGGGCACCCACCAATTCGGAAATGAGATGTTTGGCTGACAGGATATGATGTAGAAGAATAATGCATGACAGGCAGGTTTATGTGTGTGAGTATGTCTGTGTGTCTGTGTGTATGTGTGTATGTGTGTATGTGTGTATGTGTGTATGTGTGTATGTGTGTATGTGTGTATGTGTGTGTGTGTCTCTGTCTTTGTGTGTATGTATGTGTCTCTGTCTTAGGGTGTGTTTGACTGTGTGTGTCTGTCTTTGTGTGCGTTTGACTGTGTGTGTCTCTGTTTATGTATGTGTGTCTCTGTGCCTCTGTGTGTGACTGTGTGTGACTCTGTGTGACTCTGTGTGACTCTGTGTGTGTGTGTGTGAGTTTGTGTCTCTCTGTCTCTGTCTGTCTGTGTGTCTCTGTGTCTTATGTTACCCCAACACCAACATATACCCGAATAGTTCTGTGGCCGTGTGTGTGCATGTTTTCATGTTACCCCAACCCCATCATGTGCCCCAACAGTCCTGTGTGTGCGTGTGAGGTTGTGTGTGGGTGGTTGTGTGTTTTATTGTTACCCCAACATCGCCTGCTTGTGTGTACATGGGGGGCGTGTGTGTGTACCACATGAGTGTTTACACACACAGACACACACAGACAGAAAGAGAGAAGAGCCTCTTCTACTTGCGATGCTGGGATGGGTGGAGCCTGGAAGCGCATGCCTTGTGTATGCCTAAAGGAGACATGGATTTGGATACTGTGGATATTGATGTTGTTGATGACAACCAAGGTTGAGGTTTCATCAGCCAAGGTTGATGACAACCACTGGTTTGCTAGTGTCAATGGCAATGACAAACCTGGACCCGGAACCTGATTAACATGGTGGATGAAGCCCTGGTGGAAGTTCAGAGAGGAAACGACTTGAGATTGTAACACATGAATAAGGAACGATGCCCGCCATCCACTGCCGTCTAAAAGATAATAGCCTATACCCGACTGTCTATAGACAGTGTCTATATCCGACTTGTCTATAGATAACCGTCTATATCCGCGTCGTCTATAGACGTAATCTATAGACGACCTGTCTATAGACGACTGGGTATAGACGGTCGTCTATGGGTCGTCTATTAGACGGTCGTCTATATCGTCTAAAAAACTCAGCTATAGACGAGCCGTCTAAAACTCAAAATAGTTCGTCTATAGTCACGTGGAAAAATTACAGACGAGAGAGAAGAGACAGAGAGAGAGAAGAAATCGAGCTGGTGCCACAAGCGTTGATGTAGCCTGAGGAGTACTCCACCATGGGACTCCACCAAGGACGTCTGTCTGTCTGTCTGTCTGTCTGCCTGTCTCTGTCTGTCTGTCTGTCTCTGTCTGTCTGTCTGTCTGTCTTTTTCTTTCTTCATTTATTTCTTTCTTTCTTACTTTATTTATTTATTTATTTCTGTCTGTCTGTCCGTCCGTCTGTCTGTCTGTCTGTATGTCTTTTTCTTTCTTCTTTTCTTCCTTCCTTTCTTTCTTTATCTATTTATGTCTGTCTGTCTGTCTGTCTGTCTGTCTGTCTGTCTGTCTGTCTGTCTGTCTGTCTGTCTGTCTGTCTGTCTGTCTGTCTGTGTCTGTCTGTCTGTGTCTGTCTGTCCGTGTCTGTCTGTCTGTGTCTGTCTCTGTCTGTCCGTGTCTGTCTGTCTGTGTGTCTGCCTCTGTGTCTGTCTGTCTGTGTCTGCCTCTGTGTCTGTCTCTGTCTGTCTGTGTGTCTGTCTCTGTGTCTCTCCTTTTGTCTGTCTCTGTTTGTCTGTCCGTGTGTCTGTCTGTCTGTGTGTGTGTGTGTGTGCGTGTGTGTTTGACTGAAATGGGTGGGTGGGTGTGTCTGTGTGTCTGTCGTTGTATGTGTTTGAGTGTGTTACAAGTTCCATACAAGTGCGGGGTTGTACATAAAAGCTGGCGTGCCCATGGACGGTAAATCGTTTGAAGTGCAGTTACATGGTGGACCATCATTGTCCTCCCTCGTCCACTTGAGCATATGAAGCGCCATAGAGCAACGTGCCGGGTCTCCCAGACTTCCGAGGGGAACCTGGCTAGTGCCAGGGGT